ATGTATGTATGTATGTATGTATGTATGTATGTATGTATGTATGTATGTATGTATGTATGTATATATATAGGTTTAGATATGCCTAAGATACGCTGGAAATGGCTTCATGTGAGAGTTAGTTGTGATCGTTTTGAATACCTTCACACGTGTCCGTGTTTGTGCTCATGGAGTTGTATGCATGCGGGTGCATGTGCGCCCACGTATGCCAGTGTTTGCACGAGCGTGACGAATTTCTGAGATTCGGACAAAGGAATAATTATCTTTTATCTCCCATTGTTGCCACTCCTCTCAACCTTGGGCCTGAGAATGATTCCAACTTTAACCCTTTCCTGGCTGCGCGATGAATGAGCACCATTTAGTTGTACTTGGGTGCATCTTGACGCATCCTATCTTCTACACATGGCTGGAGAGAGGAAGGCTGACAGAAAGACTGTTCTTGCGCGAAAACAAGGACGAAAGTTGCGCGCTGCCGAATTCCGTCTCCTCTTGTATCGTATTGGCCGCCTAAATGCTTGGTCGGAGAAAGTGTTCTTCCTATTTGTCGGTATTAAGAGAAATATTCACGGCGAACGCGGTCGTATGGTAGACGGAGAGACAGAAACAGAGCCTACTAGACGTGGGTTAGGAAGTAAAGGGATGAAAGTGACAGGGGATAATATAGAAGAGGAAGAGGAGGGGGAGCATATGTGAAATTTCTTCACTTGGGTGGACAAAGACCATAAAGCGTCAGATAAGGATAGGAGGTCGAACAACAGTGGATGTTACTCTCCAGAATCTAACCTTTCATGCCGGTTGCAAAGACATTTCTTGTGGAGGACATTTTAGGTGGAGCGACATCTAAAAAAGCCGGTACGTTAGCCTGTTTTGCCTGAACCTATTATCATTCATTGCACATTTTCTCAAACTCTTCGCCTGCGTCCGAAGCATAGACATTGTAACCTCAATATAAACATTTCGCTACACTAGTGATCGCTTAGTCGAAGTGCACATTCTGATATTTCCTTTGTTATGGGAAGAAATAAACATTTCAGGCATTGTTTTTGAGCCTACTTCCATTTCCAGTGAAAGTGTTGGGTGAAGAGATTCGAAGGTCGGTTCCACCAGAAGAGGACGGCGGATTCCTCTTGACCAGCTGTCGATTGGCTTTACTTAAAGATTCATGCTGAGGCTGTATCCGAGGCAATCTTCTTCGATTCCGGTGAAAAGATGCTAAGCTTTAGTCCGTCATATGACGGACATCATCAGAGCGAGGTAACA